ATAAATAAATAAAATATAAAAATTCCTATGTACCCAGACTTTGTGGACACCCCATAGATAAGTGATGACACACGTACTGCAGCTTAAAAGTTCCCTACATATTTGTTCAGCATTTTCAAATTAAGTAACACATTTAACTTTCCATTAAAACTACTATTGGGCATAACTCGTCAGCCTCCTAAATTTATTAAGTTTATCACCTGATACTATAGTTTTAGGTCCTGTATGATTATTAATGTTAACACTGAACTCTACGAGTTTCAATGGGATCGCCGCTTGATATTCCCATTCAATCAGGAGGTAGTTAGTAGAATATACGTATGGATCGATTTACCATATGCCCGCCGGGCGGCCCGTTGTTGGAGCGGGTCACACAATACTGCATCACCCAATAATTTTTGTGCTAACGCTTTTCGTCTGTTTACCAGCACAACGATAGTTTGCTGAGAAAATTTGCCTTATGATATAATAATGCAACTTTCCACTTTTTTCAACCAGGCATGATAGTCTAGGCATATTTGATAAGAGTTGCCATGCCTACGTATATGAATTCCCTGGCTACTAATCAATCTCTATTACTATCTTATGCCACCTCCTCCTTATCAAAACTTCGGCAGGCGGCTGGGCTTCCGGCTGTATTGGACAGTATTTCACTTGCAATTCATCAAGCGAAAATCGACAGTCTTTCCCATTAACTGCGGAGTTCTTTAAGGTTTCATCTTATCGTCGCACATCTTCTCCTCCTACCCTTAAAAAACCTAAGATGGTAAAATGACTTTTTGCACATAAATCTGCTGATTATATGGCTGTTAATCATTTGCTTAAGAATAAGATACATGTTCGTGTTCTGATGGACTAAGTGTCAGCTTGGTCACTGAGAAATTGTCTTCCAACGAAAAATCAGAATTCAGTCCAGCGTGTTCACCTAGTGCGACCTTCTCTTAATTCTGAATCCTCAGACATTCTGCCCGAGGAAATACCGTCTTCCTGGTATCTTGGTGTCACTCTGACGTATAATTCCTCTTTTTCCCATAATATTTAAACCCCTTTTGACTAGAATATCTAAATCTCTATATTATATGCAATGGTTACGTTTCTATTACACACCTAATACTTTTATTTTTTTGAGCCTTGCTGGTTTTTAAACGTATCCTCTGGATTCTATATTTAGCTCCCAGTTGTTATATGCATTTTTAGTCGCTAGCATAAGAAAGCAGTACTTTAAAAGGTCATGTAACCCTCTTCTCGAATCGTTTATGGGGTTTGCCATTCCCTGCACTCTGAATTAATGGCTGCAATCTTTTTTCGTACTTTGCGGTGAGGCTTCCGACATATTTCCTGCCGTACTTCGGCATATAAGCATATTTTAATGCCATTTTTAGCACGCCACGTCACGTGGTAAGAAACTGAAATCCGGCAGCTAAGATTGAAAATGCGTGGCTAAAATATGAAAATTTTATATAAACCTCCATATTTTACGTTTTTTGAATGCCGGTTTGCGAACGTACGTGAGCTTTCAGTAAATTTTCATCCAGCTATTACATTTATCTGGTAGGAAGTAAAAGGTACAAGGTAAACATGCGAGAAATTACGTTCATTATAACAGGCTTATTAGTCATGGAAGTAGGGAATAGGTTGGGGTTGCCTGCAAGAATGAACGTAATTGCCCGCATGTTTACCGCGTATATTTTACCCCCTTCCGATTTAAACGTAATGACCCGATGAGACTTTATCGAAGGCGTACGTATGCTCGTCAGCTTCTCTTTCGATTTCTCTTACGGAAATTTTGGCATCTTTGCGTATTTTGTTAATTTATCCTGTGGTCTTCGTGAATGGAGCCATGTTTTGCTGAAAAGCTTGGATGCTACCTTCAAAATAAAGCACATTTACCTCTCACACTCTCACTCTCTTTCTCCAATTAATACTTGCTTCCAGCTGTTGGTCATAATGCGCCCCAATCATCGCTTAAGCTAACAGAAGACATTTAAAGTGATAAATAAAGTCAGTTTGCTTAAAAAGACATCCGGTTCGTAGTAAATGCAACTCATCTGCTTTGGAAAGCATCCTAAAATACATGCTGCACCTGGTTTTACTGCCATTATCGGAGGAGGAAAAAAAGGTGGTTGCATACACACACAGAGAAGGAAAGTGTTCAAAATGATTAGAAGGCGCTACGCAATAACAGTCATGTCGGTAACCCAAACCTTGCACCCATCAATAGCGTAAGCGATAATGGTCAGCAGGAGACCCACAACCAGCACCAGCGTTGGCCAGAACAGGCTGTGAAAGAGGAGTCTGGCTGGATAGAGCCGATGCATGAGTGCGGCCGCCATGAGATCAGCGTTTCGTCGCGAACTGGCAACTGGCAGTTTGTGCTGCTGGCGCTGCATCTGCGCCAACCACTCGATGACCTTGACAGGCAGAAAAGGCGCTGGCCAATGGTGGCCATCCTCGT